TTTGTTAATGTAGTATATTACAGTGATGGATTTATGAGTATTATATCATACTTGCATCCCTGGTATAAATTCCACTTGATCATGATGGATGATCCCTTTGATGTATTTCTGAATTCAGTTTGCTAATATTTTGTTGAGGATTTTTGCACCTATGTTCATCATGGATATTGGTCTATAATTTTCTTTTTTTGTAGTGTCTTTGTTACTTTTGGTATTAGAGTGATGCTAGCCTCATAGAATGAGGTTGGAAGTATTCACCCCTACTTTTGGGAATACTTTAAGAAGGACAGATAGTAGCTCTTCTTTAAATGTTTGGTAGAATTCAACTGTGAATCCATCTGGCTGGACTTTTGTTTGTTGGGACTTTTTGGTTACCAATTCAATTTCGTTGCTAGTAATTGGTCTGTTCAGATTTTGTTTCTTCCTGGGTCAGTCTTGGAAGGTCTTACTTTTCTAGGAGCTTGTCCATTTCCTCTAGGTTGTCCAATTTACTAGCATATAATTTTTCATAGTATTCTTAATAATCTTTGTATCTCTGTGGTGTCAGTTGTAACTTTCTACTTTTTTTTGTTTCTGATTTTGCTTCTTTGTGTCCTCTCTTCTTTTCTTGATAAAGTCTGGCTAGTGGTTTGTCTATTTTGTTTATCTTCATGCAGAACCAGTTCTTGGTTGCACTGATTTTTTTCTATTTTATTTTTCTCTATTTCTGCTCTGATATTATGTCCCTCTTACTATCAACTTTGGGTTTCATTAGTTGTGAGTTTAGACTGTTTATTTGGGATTGTTCTTGTTCCTTGGGGTAAGCCTGTATTGCTTCTCTCTTAGAAATGCTTTTGCAGTGTTCCATTTTGAACTGTCGTATTTTGTTTTCATTTGTCTCCATATATTGCTTAATTTCTTCCTTGATTTGATCACTGAAACACTGGTTATTTATAAGCATGATGTTTAACCTCCATGTGTTCGTGGTTTGTTTTCTTCATGTAATTTATTTATAGTTTCATACCATTGTGATCTGAAAATATGCTTGATAGAATTTCAATCATTTTGAATTTAGTGAGGCTCTTTTTGCATCCTAATATATAGTCTAGTTTGAAGAATATTCCATGTGCACTTGAGAAAGATGCACACCCCGTGCTTTTGAGTGGGATGTTCTATAGATATCTGTTAAGTCCATCTGATCCAATGTATTGTTTAGTGCCTCTGTTTCCTTATGTAGTTTCTGTGCATTGATGTAACTGGGGTGTTAAAATCCCCTAACACAGTTGTACTGCTGTCTTTTTCTCCCTTTAGTTCTGTTAATATCTGTTTTACATATTTAGGTGCTCCTATGTTGGGTGCATAGATATTTATAATGGTTATCTCCTCTTGTCGGACTGACTGCTTTATCATTATGTAATGTCCTTCTTTGTGTCTTATTTTCTTTGTTTTGAAGCCTATTTTGTCTAAATACTACTACTACTGCTTTCTTCTTCCTTTTATTTACATGAAATAGCTTTTTCTATTCTTTCACTTTTCAGTCCATGTATGTCTTTAGGTCTGAAATGAGTCTCCTGTAGGCAGCATATAGATGAGTCTTGTTTCTTTACCCATTCTGCCACCCTAAGTCTTTTGATTGTTGCATTTAGTCCATTTACATTTGAGGTAATTATTGACAGATATGTACTTATTGCCATTTTATTAATTGTTTTTGGTTGTTTTGGTAGTTCCTCTCTGTTCCTTTCTTCCTCTCTTATACTCTTCTCTTGTTATTTGATGGTTTCTCTTTAGCATATGCTTGGATTTATTTTTGTAGTTTATTTTTTGTATCTACTGTGGGCTTTAGGCTTGGGTTACCATAAGGTTCATAATTTCCTGAGTATGTAACAGTCTATAGTAAAAGTTGATGGTTGCTCTATTTTGAACACAATTTAAAAGTACTACTTTTTAATCCTTCCTCCTCTTGCACACTTTATGTATATCATAATCTGTATCTTTTGTGCATCCTTGACTGACTTTTTTGTATAGTTGAGTTTACATTTTTTTTTTAACCTCATACTTGCTTAGTAAGTAACTGGTTTACTACTTTTACTGTAAGTTAATTTTCATTGATGAAAAATATTTAGGCTTAAGAACATTTACAGCTACATTCCCTTTAACATATCCTGTAAGGCTGGTTTAGTGGTGGTGAATTGTTTTAACTTTCACTTATCTGAGAAACTTTCAGATAAATCTCTATTTCTATTCTAAACGATAACTTTGGTGAATAGATTTTTATTTTTTTTACAAGATTTTTAAAATTGAGCTATTGTTGATATACAATCTTATATTGGTTTCAAGTATACAACACAGTGGTTCAACTGTTAGGTGGGTAGGCTTTTGGTTGTAGGTGCTTCTCTTTCAATATTCATTAAATATTTCATGTCACTCCCTTCTGGCCTGTAAAGTTTTTGCTGACAAATCTGCTGGTAGCCTTATGGAGTTCCCCCTATAGGTAACTGTCTCTCTCTTGCTGCTTTTACATTTCTCTTTCTCTTTCATCTAAGCTATTTTAACTACTACATGTCTTGGTGTTGTCTTCCTGGGGTTTTTTGTGAGGGGCTTTCTGTGCTTCCAAGACCTGGCTGTCTATTTTGTTCCCTAGATTGGGGAAATTTACAGCTATTTCTTCAGAGAGACTTTCTGTACTCCTTTGTCTTTTTCTTGTCCTTCTGGAACCCCTATTACGTGAATATTGTTTTGAGTTGTCACGAAGCTCTCTTAGCATCTTCTCATGTTTAGAAATTCTTTTTTCTCTCTGTTCCTCAGTTTTGTTGTTTTACTATTCTCTATCTTCCATCTTATTGAGTCTTTCTTCTACTTCCAGCAGTCTACTGGAGAGAGTTCATCATCTTTCCATTTTATTTTTCATTTCAGTTATTGTATTCTTCAGCTCTGAATGGCTCTTTTCCAGAGTTTCTGTCTCTTTGTTGAGGTTCTGAGATCATTCTTTTCTGCAGGTCAGGGAGTATCTTTATGACTTTTACTTTGAAATCTGTATCAAGAAAAGTGGTACCTCTTTCTGGTGTCTCTGTTTTGTTTGTTTATTTGTTTGTAACATAGTCCTCTGCCCCATTTTGTCTGTTTTTCCTTTGTATTGGATTAGCTATGCCTCCTGGTCTAGAAAGTAAATGGTTTGATGAAGAAGGCAACCTGTGGTATCCCAAAACAGGATTCCTTGCTCACCAGTGCCTGGTTCTTCATTGCAGTGGAGCCTCAGTTGCTGCTGGGTGGACCATGGGTGGGGCTGACTTTCTGCCTGCCAGCAGTGCTGATGTCTCTCAGCAGAGGCTGAGACCTCACATCTGTGTGGCCTTTGTGTGCTGGGAGGCACTTCTGCTAGGATTCATTATGGGTAGGGCTGCCCTCTGCCTTTTGGTCAGCAATGGCAGCAGCTGCTGGGCCAGGCAAGGTAGATAGATGCACAGGGGAGCACCACCAAAGGGCTAAACGACAGTGAAGGAGATGGTTTGGAGCTCATTCCCACAGGCATCTCCTTGATTGGTCTGAAAGAGGGCTAGGGAAGCTGGGAAAGCCTCCCTCTGCCTGCCAGGCAGCAAAGGTTCCTCTGTCTGCTACGCAGCAAAGTCTGACCACTGTTGGGCTGGGCAGGCCTGGTAGGACTGGTGCACAGGGGACAACCTTGTGGGGCTGAACCTCCAGTGAGGGAGATGGAGAATTTGGAGCTGGCTCCAACAGCACCCAACCAGTTGGGCGGAGGGAGGATTGGGGAAGCATTACCCATCTCCCTTTCTCCTCCAGAGAGAGCTCCCTGCCCCTCCAACCCCTGCCCCTCTGCCATACTTTCTGATGCTGGTAAATCTTTCAAGCTGCTGCCTCTATGTTGGGTCTTAACAGGACTGATGAAGCATGTCTGACATCCACAAGCAACAGGAGTCTCAGTCTCCCAGAGTGCTCCAACTCTCCCTAGTGTCCAGGCCTGTTAATCACCAAAGCCCAATGCAATGTGAACTTGTGTTCCCCAAGCAGATCTCCATGGCCAGGTGAGCAGGATCCCTGAGTGCCTATCCCCTCCCTGCTCTGTTCCTCTCCCTCCTGCTTGTGGAATGGGATGGGGGAAGAGACTGGATCCTAATTGATAAGGGCTCTGCCACTTTACCCTTCTCCATGTGTCCATCTCTTCTTTACCAGGTGTAGATGGTCTGTTTTGCACTCTTCAGATTGTTTCAGGGTTAGTTGTATTTGCTGTAGTTGCTTCCTTGGTGTGTGGGAGGAGGTTTTAGCCTTGCCTTCCTACTGTGCCATCTTTTTTCCCATCCCGAACAAAAGCACAAAGATTCTCTGTGTCTTACATATAACAACTTCTGATAAATGTCTGTTGAATAAATAAACAAGTATGAATGAATAATCTAAACTCTTTACTACTAATAAAAAAGCCAAGGGAAATCACTTTTTAAAATGTATAAATGGTAACACCCTCCTCATACTATATATTTTTATGTAATTCTACTTGTTCAACAACTGGCACAGGAAGTATTACTTCCTCAATTTTCTTATTTTTATTAAAAACTGATACAATATACCATGGAAAAACTAGCTCACAATTGCCAACAGAAATACAATGTGAGCCATTTATGTAATTTAAAATCTTCTACTAAAAACAAATTTAAAAAAAGGAAAAACAGGGAAAATAAATTTTAATATTTCATTCATCCCAATATACCCAGAATACTATAATCTTAACACATAACATAAAATTACTGAGATCATTTATATTCTTTCTTTCCCCACTCTAAGTATTTGATATTTGGTGTTATATTACAGCACATCTCAACTCACATGAGTCACATCGCAAATGCTCAATGTCTACATGTACTGGACAGTAGAGCTCTAGATAATACTGCAAGAAGACCCAATATTTCCAGATGAAACCAAATACACAGATAAAAGGAAGTTAATTTCTTTAAATTTTCTAATGTGATTTACTAATAAGAAATATGTTGTCTGGAATAGACTTTTCATTGCTGGTTTACATATTTTTCTTCATTTAATATTTTCCATTACTCTTACTTGCTCCTATTACTAGGGGAAAAGTTTATTTGAAGTACATTTTCTATTCTCTAATGTTTATAATTTCATTGAGTAAGTTTAGAAACTGATTAACAATAATTTCCCTCATGTTAGTTTGGATCTTCTGCCTTCTCTCTCTCTCAAAAAAAAAAAAACATACTAAATTATCTCAAAATAGTCGTTAATGCCAAAAGAAGAAAACTTGTGATTTAGAAAATTTGTCAAAGTACTAGTTACCTCTCTTCTTTATTAACTTTCCATTATTTTACTTGTTCGTATCCTTACATTCCAAACAGAATAAAATAATATGGTTAATAATTTATTTAACAAAGGATGGAAGGGGAAAAGAGTAACATTATTTTATTTTATTTATGATTTAGAGAGCTTTGGGGAAGTAAGTCTATTAAAATCTGTCTCTCTTTAAAAAAATCAAGCTGTAAATGTATCTGTTTTTTAGAAAATCTCAAATGAAAACTCATGGTACACATTAAACCTTTATTTTAGAAAATGTTTGTCTAAAGGTTAATATTAATTTCCTGAATTTTGGACTTTGTTATATTCTTTTTTTTCCACACTAAAATATTATTAAAGTAAGTATTAAAATTGCTTTGTTCCTTTAACTTATAATTAGTTTTCACACTTTAGCATCAGCAATCTGTAATTAGGTGAAAAATGATAAAATAATGCTTTATTTAGATCTTTCCCAGATTTTCAATGCCTTTCTGAACACTTTTATTATTCCAAGAGGATTAGTTGGGTATCTCCTCCTATGAAATATAATCAGTAGCATTAATCTCAATCTCATGGAAGTTCTTATGTTTTTAACATACTTGCCAACTGTTAAATAGGAGTCTTAATGTCTCCAAGAATAATATTGCATCAGTTATCAAATACTACTGAACAGATTCTAATATATCATTAAGATTCTTTCAATTATATAATAATTACTTTTCTTTAATTTCACTCCACTTTATTAGCAATTAATATATGCTAAAGGACAATGGATTCTACATGGTCTTTCCCTTGTTAGGTTATATATAAAAACAGTTGTTGAACTCACTTTAAAGGCAAAACACTGGTGACAAATATACCATCACTGAACCTTGACTACACTCAAAATTCTATTTGGACTTTCTGGTGAGGCTCTAGGGTGTCCTTTCTCTAACTGACTTATAATGTTAGAAAGTACAACTGGTGATAATGGTAGCTAACACTTATATAGTACTTTTAGGACCAGGCACTGTTTTAACTATTACATATATTACCTCTACTCTTACTCTGAGGTAGTCACTCTTAGTCCCATTCTACAAATGAGGAAATAGAGACACAGAATGATTACCTAAGTATTAGTGGTTACAAAGCTAGTAAGCTTGATTAGTCTTTTCAAAGAACTCGCTTTTGATTTTGTTCCTTTCTTCATTATTGCCTTGTTTTCTATTTAATAATTTGTTTTTATTTTTTACTATTTCCTTTCTTCTACTTTTTGGGGTTCATTTTATTGTTCTTTTTCGATCTTTCTGAGCTGAAAGCTGAACTCATTAGTTTTCTATCACTCTTCCTTTTCAAATATATGCATTTATAAGTATAAATTTCCCAGTAAGAACTATTTTAGTATAGTGTAGTATTCAGCTATAAATTTTTCCTCTAAGTGCAGACATGTTTTCATTATTGTTAATTATAAACATTTTATACTTTCCATTATGATTTTCTGATCAATGAGTTAATTAGAAATTTCTGGGTTTCAAAACACATGGGCTACAATTTTGAGAGCTGCCTTTTTATTACTGACTCCTAATTGCATGAAATTTGGTCAGAGAATGGGATCAATATGACAGCAATTTAGTATGGTGAGATTTCTTTGTGGCTCCAAACTGGTTATATTTTTGTAAAATCTCTATGTTGGACTTTTTTACGTGTTGGATACTGTACTTGTTTGACCACAGCTCATTGGACAAGTTTGCTAGTTGTATTCTATTGTCTATGTTCTTCCTAAATTTCTAGCCATTTCATCAGGTTCTGAAAGAAGTAGTTAAAAATCTCCTATTATAATTAGGGATTTGTTATAGTTTCCTTGTAATCTTGTCCTATTATGCCAAGTTTTGCTTGAGTTTTTGTTTTAGATACACACGGGTTCAGGATTCTTTCCTTCTCTCATTATGTAAACATTCTTATTATCTCCAGTAAAGCCTTTTTGCTTTGAAGTCTATTTTGGTCTACTTTAATATTAATATTCTCATACCAACTATTAGCATTTTAAAGCTAATATTTGCTCTGTTTTCTTTTTCTATTCTTTGCATTTAATTGTCTTTGTCTTTTGTTAAAGTCTAAATAATAATGATAATGAAAATAGCTAAAATAACTATTGAACACTTACACTATGCCAGGTACTATTCTAAACGTTTTTCTGTATATTAATTCATTTAAATATCACAACAAACCTGTGGTAGATTATTATTATTTTCCCCATTTTACAGGCAAGTAAAAAAACAACACACAATTAAGAAGTTAATTGACATCCTACCTGATTCTAAAAAAATTACAAGACCCTTAAAACACTTTAACTCCTTTTTGCTCCCTCATCTATTTTCCACACTATTATGGTGTATTATTGGTTTTTAACCTCTTCTCAAGTGGTTTCTCTTTTGCTTTATAGTCAGCAAAATTTGTGATCACATTTTTGTAATCAGATTTATAACTTTACCAACATTTTTGATAAGTTGTTTTTTCACCATTGCTCTTGTCACTCCATTCCTTTACTTGAGGCTCAATTTCTTTCATACAGAAGTACATTCTTTAGTATTCAGATACTTTGGGGAGTATCTGTGAATGGTAAATTCTCTGATTTTATCTGAAAATATATTGCAACCTCACTTTCTGAATAAAAATACTCAGCTGTAGTTTTTTTAGTTGGTATTTTCACTCCATTTCCTGCTGGAGCCTATCGAAACAGATGAGAATTCTACTGTTAGTCTGTTATCCTTTGTAGGTAATAGTTTTTTTCTCTGGCTGCCTTTAAAATTTTCTGTCTTTGATATTCTGCAGTTTTACCATAATATCACTAGATATGGACTGAATTCATCCTGCTTAGACTAAGCATGCTTTTCTAATCTGAAAATGCCTGTCTTTACTTATTAAAAACTGACAGTCCTTATATCTTAGAATACTGTCTCAGCCCCATTCTATTCCATCCTGTGGAACTCCTATTTGACATATATTGGAGCCTCCTATTTTATCCATTTCTCTTGACTGCTTTATCATGCTTTCCATCTCTCTATGCTGATACATTGCTACAATATGGGTGATTTCTACAGATCTATTGCCTAATTTACAAGTACTCTCCTTGAGTATGCAAATTTGTTGTTTATCTTTCTACCCTAGTTATTAAATAGAGAGTCTGATGCATTCTTGGGAATAAAGAAGGGGGAAAATTTATTATCCATCTGCTCCTCTGAAAAGTAAAAGGTTTTGGAGAAATTTCTAAGGGGCAGGGGATGATAGCAGTATGACACATACAAACATATAAATATAATAATTATATTGATGGTAAATATATGTATATCTTAAATGTATAAAATGGAACCAATCACCCCATTTCTTGGCTCATGTACAGTCTAAGTAGAGGGAAGACAGGATTACATTTTCTTCCACATATAACTAAAAATTGATTTAAATTTAAGATTAAGATATTTGTTACTATAACATGGTTCAAATGTATATGCAAAGTATACAAAAACACCTAGAGCAAGAGTATTCCAGGTTGAGAGACCTGTAAGTGCAATGATCTTGTGGTGGGAAGGGGCTCAGTGTGACTGACTAATAGCAAGAAAGTAAGAGTGGGTAAAGCAGTGCAAATATGGGAAAGGTAGTGGAAAATGAGGCAGATGAGGTAGTCAGGTAGTATATGATATATGGCCTTAAGAGTCATGATAAGGTTTAGTCATGATAAGGTTTTGAATTATATCCTAGGTGTGATGGGAAGTGAGTAGCATCTAAAATGTCCTTGAAAACATTAATTTAAATAAAAGTGCTTATTTAAATTGTACCTTACATTTTATACAATATTTAACAACTGATAATTGTTAATAGAAGTTATATACAATATTTAACAACTGATAACTGTTAAGACAAGTTATGATTTCATTTGGAACTTAAATTACTTCATAAGAGTCAGGCTTTCTTATTTCTAAAACATGTATGAAATGATCTACTAGGATGAGCAATGTAATGACATAATCTGATATAAGATCCTATACAGAATTCTATTTTGAGACTTCTGTACATGAAATATACAAGGAGTATTTAAAACACATATGTACAGTTTAATGAGTAGAGTGAATGAGTGTGCCCACCATATAGAAAAGAATAGAAATAGAATATTACCAGCACCCCAAGAACCCTTGCTATATGATTGTATATCATTAATATACAATTACATGTGCGACATTGTGGTTACTAGATTCCCCCCCTTATCAAGTCCCCACCACATACCCCATTACAGTCACTGTCCATCAGCAAAGTAAGATGCTATAGAGTCACTACTTGTATATGACATTTTTTAAGAAAAACTTACTTAGTACTATAATCTGTGATAATTATCCACTTAAATGTCAACTGGGACCACATGACCAATCTTTTTATGGACAAAAGGAATATTCCTTTAAGTCCATATTTAATTTCAATATGGTATTTGAGTGCATATCTACTTAAAATCTATTCACATTTCAATAGAGAAGTGCCATCTCTAAGGCACTAACTTCAATTTTAAACAAAATATATACCAAGTATATATAAAAAAACAGAGCTTAAAGAAAATGTATACATTGTCATACATTTTTGTGAAAGCAAACATAATAGCACTTGGTTAAAGTAAAATAAAAGTCATTCAAAAGTTTAAGATCTCATTAGGGTTTCATTACAGTAAATTAGGTAAAATGAGACTTTTTTGTTTCTGTGTGGCTTCTACTATATTCTTAGCACTCAATAAATGTTAAACAATAAAATACAAATTAGGCTAATCACAGCATATCTAAAATATACTTTATGAAATTTGAGCCTACTTAAAATTTTATATTATAGAAACTTGGCATGTCACTGATTAATGACTTTTTCCAATATTAAAAATTAAACCTATGAAATCTAGATTTCTATATCTTTTAAATGAACATGTTAACAATAAACTACCAGAGAACAAGAAATATGGTCAAAATTAAACTACTATTATTTTTAAATAAAGAATTTCATATTAAAATGAGGTTATTCCCTAATGGGAAATTCTATAAGCCTTTTTACAAATGCATTTAAAATGATAAAGGAAAAGAAGGAAATGAAATTAATAGATAAAAGCAAGTTATATAAAGATACCTGAAATGTGGATAAAATTATACACACAACATGGGTAATAATAACATTTAGAAGTATCACTCTCAAACTGTAGTGCAGCAGTACCTGAATTATGTGCCCTTTAATTTATGCACATGATGGATAGCTTGTTAAGGGGTGTATCTGTAACCATTATAATTGATAGTAGCTGAAGGCAGTCAGGCCATAATTTCTATTTAATGGATGGGATAGTAGGGGAACAAAGTCTGCAGTAGCATTTTAAAATAAGTCTGGAAAGTATACATTTATGTCCAAAGTAATACCTATATTCTAGCCTTTTGTATGTTGAATTCTTTAAGAAAGAGAAAAATCAGCTGTGGCAAGATCCATATATTAAATCAAAAGTTTGATTTAACCAATAACTAGAAAAATCTTATAATAAGTGGAAAAGAAGTTTCAACTAACCATTTGATGGTCCATTTCTGTGCTTTTGTTCATTAGAGCTTGTGGGAGAAGCAAATGGGCTCATTTGACAAGTTCCAGTTGTTGGAGAATAAGTTGTAATACTTTTCTTCCTCGTAATTTTTGCAGGATCAAATGACTGGAAATAAATATTAATTTGGAACAAAAATATTTTTAGATTCTTGAAAATTCCTTTGAAAACTCACAAAATTCAAATCAATACTCTTTTCCTTGCTCTTTCTTTCCAGATCTTAAATATATTTAATTATCTCCTTCAAAGTGAACACTATTCTTTTAAGTTACGCAGATAGTTAGGTCTCTACACTAATTAGGGCATCTCAATTTGACATTCATGAAATTTTAACGTTTAAGGGTTCCTATCTTCTGATATGTATTTCCAAACAATTTAGAGATGGCTGACTCTCTCAATTTTATACTGATTTTTGATGTCAGCTGAACCTGAAGTGTAATTATGGGGGCAAGCCAGGGAAATTCTCAGAAGTTTCTCTTAGTAAGACCCTCAGAAAATTCTGGGAAAGACTAGTGCTGTCCTAAGCCTTCCTAAGTTGCTCCATGTTGTTGCGTTCTTAATGATAACCAAAATAATGTTCAATTGAGTTTGGCATTTCAGGGCTTTTGAAAATTTGGCTGATCCTACACAAATACTCTCTGCAGCTTCCTTCTCTGTGTTCCTACAGACCTTGAGCTTACCTTATTGGAGTTAGCAAAATTTTAATAATTCTTTACATTTCTGTCTGCCCCACTAGAATTGGAGCTCCTGAATATATTTCTTCATCCTCTATAACCCAGGACTCAAAATTATATCATGAATGTATAACTTAAAAGTAACAGTCCAATAAAGTTGGCCAAGCCACTCTACTCAGAATATATTCATTTGTTCTTTAGTTCATTCATCCATTATTAAATGATACCTGTAGTTGTAGTCACTTCAGCTATGCACATTTGGGCTTTTGCTCATTCTGTGATCCTAGATTGGAATACTTCTTTCTTATCTTCCCCAGGATAATTCTTTCTTTGGTTTAGGTTCCCATTCACCATTAATTGCTTGTTTCCTGAATTCCCTTTAAACTTGTTTTTTATAACACTTACTGATCACACAGCATTTGCTAACAAATGTATACAAAGAAACAACAAACTCTTCTGGCCTCATAAATGGCAGAGAAGAGCTATTATGGTAGTATGGGTACTACAGAAATTTGGACAGAAAAAATCAAAGTGGGCTGTAGACACCTCAGAGAAGGATTCTTGTGAAGAAGAAGGATAAGGCTTAGATAAGAAAACAGAAAGTATGAAAAACCTGAAATCTTGGAGGTGAAAAAGCACAGGATAGATTTGGGGGATCAAGAAAAGGCCCACAGGCTCATATGTTGCCAACACTGTAGAATTAAACTAGCTTGGTAGCTGACTTGATATAGTTATATAATTCACCACTGTCAAGTATTATTTATTTTTAAGGCACCATGGCAGAAATGGTGTCTGTGTACTTTTCTCAATAATCTTGGTATTAGTTCTAGATTCTATAGCATCAATTTTTTTTTACAGTTAATATTTTAAGTAATAAATACTTCTTTGCATTGGGGGAACAAAAGGCATTTCATTCTTTATTTTATGTATCCACAAAAGCCACAAATGTAAAAAAAATCTTTAAAAAAAATCAAACTATTACATCAAGTTATAACTCTAAAGCAATCTTTTTTTAAGGGTGAACGGATTTTAAGTCTCTTTATCAGGTGGTTATTATTACCTCTCCATCTTGAGTTTTTAGTCATAAACTATGACATTTATCCAATCTTACCCTATTTTTCCAAGAATTTATTGCCCATAACTATTTCACTGTGTATGTACAAGAAATGAAAGTCATACCCTAATGTACATTTATGTCAATCTGTTTTCCTATTTTCACCAAAACATTATTTTTTCCAATTGCCAAATATCTAAACATTGCAACTATAGATCATACATTTCTCCTTGAAAACAATTTTCTAGGCTCCATAAAATGTTTGTGTGTGCATGTGTGCACATGTGTGTGTGTGTGTGTTTCCCCTCACCTTAAAAAGTACTAAGGCTTCTCTTTTGTTTTCTTTTTTTGGTCATCTGTGTTGGTTAAAAAGAAGAATTTCTGTCTACAATTACTATATGTAGAGAGGAAAATGCAAATTTACCTTTCCCTACTGTCCCACTAAATATTTCCCAGAAAACAACACAGTTTTATATATCTGCCTATTGATGTACACAAAAGCATAATCTTACTTCTCTAAGTTTGTTTTTCCCCTCAAGGTTTTACCAAGGTCCTCTAATTTTTAAACCCTGAAGATGCTTGCAAGTGATCTTGGAATCCACTTAAGAATTTCCACCCTACTATCCCCAAAACATCGAAGGACCTGGCCTACTCATTAGCCTCCCACAACAGGAAGAATTAAAACTGGGATTTGAGAGAAGACTGGGCTACTAATTGAGAAGTCTGGCAGTCTTTTCACTCAGCAATTATAAGTGCTACCTACCCGATCCTTTAGAAAAACAGAGGGAAAAAATATGAAAGGAACAGATTTGGCTAGAGAAGGAAGAGCATTCAGGATGCAAACAAAATGTAAGGAAATAGAAATCAGGTAAGTCACAACTAGTTATATACTTACAACTGCTTGTAATATTTACTGAATCCGTAGAGATATTTTAACACAACTATTAAAAAAAAAAGATGCTATGATCAGCCCAAATGTCCTTGTACTTTTTGTAAGGAGGTCAAACCTGCACATTACTAAAACTAAAATTTGGGCATTGATTTTTCTGTGTTAAAAAAAGAAAGAAATGAGTGTTCTTTCCATAATTTCAAATATATATGACATTCTCCTTCCATATCTTTCACACATTACAGCTTGCTTTGTCACCTTGTTTAGAGCGTATTTTACCAAAAAAGGTACTTGTATTTTATTGATTCTTACCTATTATAAACAGTCTAGAAAGTACTAAGAGCTCTTTCAAGATGAAATATGATATAAAGAATCTGCTATTATTATTATGAACTACTAGCCTATGCTATCACTGAATTATTTCAAACAGATACTGTAGGTATTTGGACAGTCAGGAACAAAAAGAAAAATTAGGGCAGCTTAAGAGAGAGAATTCTTTATTACCTTATACCAATTAGGTTATTGGAATGTCTCACCTAAGACATTATTATTCATTACTATACTAACTATGGAATTTATATTAGAAAACTCTAAATACTAGCTGTCTCAAGGACTTTTCACAATTTGGGCCTAAGAGTCCTACAAATCAACTAACTTCTTATCAGCTGCCACAATTATCATCCTTAATGTTTCAAATAATGTTGGAGTTTTGCTGTTATTTTTAATGGTAGTATGGAGAGCAAAAGAATTTTGCATTTATCTTGTGATCTTACAGGGATAGCAGGAAAGAATATAAGCAAAATATTAGAATCATAGTAATGGAAATGTTCTATTTCTTGATTGGGTGTTTGATACATGGGGGATAGATTCATTAAAACTCATTGAATTGTACACTCAAGCCTGTGAATTTCATGATATATAAATCTTATTCTCAAAGAAAAAATTTTAATAGGAAAAATAAAAGAACACATTGGCTAAAAAGTTGACACACTAGTGTTTTTATTTGTGCTTATTACTGTTTCACAATTTTGATAATAAAATATTAATATTAAAGATATCACTATTACTCTTTGCATTGCAATCTTCAAGTTTTTAATGAAATGTTTTCATGTTTCCAATCACTTCATATATCCTCAAATTTTTCAGAATATAAAGTGAAATTCACCTCATATATTTGTTTATTGAAGTATGATTTACATACAGTAAAATGCACAGATCTTAAGGGTTCAGCTTGATGAGTCTCACAACTGTATACACTGATACAACCATCACCCAAGATATAGAACATTTCAATAATCTTTGAAGGTTCTTTTGTATCCCTTTCACTCAATTCCCATTCCCTAGTCCAGAGTCAACCGTTTTCTAATTCCTATAATCAGATAGTTTTGCCTATTGTACTTCATGTAAATTAAATACTTAACTTTTGTGTTTTGCTTTTTTCTCTATGTATTTGTGAGATGATCTATGTTGTTGTGTGGTAGTAGTGTGTCTCTTTATTGTTGAATAGTATTCCTTTGTATAAATATTCCAGAATTTGTTTCTATGCTCTCCTGTTGAAGGACATTAAGGTTATTTCCAGTTTGGAGCTATTACGAATTAAGTTGCTAAGAACATTCTTGTATATGTCTTTTTGTGGCTATAAATTTTATTTCTTTGGCAATCTAGGAATGGAATCACTAGATTATAAAAATATTTTCTTTATATGAAATAAAAGCTAAACAGTTCTCCAAAGTGTTTGTAACATTTTGAATCTGAGAGTTGCAGCTGTTTCATCCTCACCAAACTTTACTGTTGTTTAAATCGTTGTGGTTTTGTTTTTAGCCATTCTGTTTTGTTATTGTTATTCAGCTACTCCAGTGGGTGGGAATGGTATCACTTTGTGGTTTTAATTTGTATTTCTGATAGTGAGCAAACACTTTTTCATGTGCTAATGGTTCATTTAAGTATCATTTTTGTGAAGTGTTCAAGTTTTTGTACATTTTTATTGTAGTCTTTTTTACTGTTTATTTACATACTCTAGATACAAGTCTTTTGTCAGACATATGCATGATAAATTATTTTCTTCTTGATCCATGAATTGCTTATTCATTTTCTTAATGGTGTCTTTTGATGAACAGAAATTTCTAATTTTGATTAAACTTACCAACATTTTCTTCTATGGTTTGTATTTTTTGTGTTTTATGAAATACTCTAAGGTCTCAAAGATAGTTTCTTATGTTTCCTTCTAAAAGTTTTATTACTCTTTGACTTTTTCTTTATGTCTATGATACTTCTTAAATTAATCTTTGTGTATCAAATGAGATAAGGATCAAGGTCAATTCTTTCCCCTATGGCTATTTAAAAGACCTTTTTTCCTTTTGAATTAACTCAATATTTAAAAATATTTCATAAATTTAGTCAACTATATAGTATAAACCAAAAACAGTACTAGGAATAATATTTTTCTAAAGAGAATGAAGAGTCATAAAGTATTTAAATAATTACACTAAAG